GTACTACTAGTATGGGTGGGGGACATGTTAAGGGAGCCTAAGGCTACAAACCCTGCCTCTTGAAGTGCAGGTAGGGTCATGGTGCAAGGGTGAGGCCACAAGGGTGGAACTCCAGGGGCAATGGGAGACCTGTGTCATGGTGGGCCTTGGGCACCAGATTGTCATAAATCCCCCTGAAAACAAAAGTTAAACTACAAGCATTTACAAAATGACATATTGTCAGAGTCTTTCCTTGGTACTGTGATGTTGCACTCCATATGATTTTATGAAAATATGCTAAGGAGTGTGAATATAATGTAATTGGAATATGCTTCATGCAAAAGGTCTCTTGTAAGGTATCATTACAAAGCTTATAATCTACTGAGTGTGGTCATCCTATTTGTATAAATGTATCATTCTTGTATCTGAAACTAGAAATATGAAATATAACTCTGAGGTCCTACTGTAATTATGCAAAGCGTGGGCCATTAATGGTGGCTTGGAATCTTGAAGGACAATTGGTTGTAAATGGTTCTGTTTAACTGCAAGCCTTCCTGTGAGTCAGACCAGGAAGAATAAAGGCTTGGGGTCTCACAGGACATGTGACCATGTCACCTGGTAATGGAATCCATCTTAAACCTGGTGCTTTTCCATTTAGAAGGAGGGGTGGGAACCCAGAGAGACAAAAAATTCCCGCCTTGTGCTGAAGCAGTATAAGAGGGTGGAACAGAACAAAGGAGATTCCAGTCATGAGAAATCCCCTCGTTACCACCTGAGCTAGAGCTAACAAGAACCATACCAGGGGAAAGGATTGGGCCCAGTCTGTGAAAGAAGCTTATTGGAACATCTCTGAGGGTGAGATTTTATCTGTAATTAGTTTCTTAATGGATTAGGCTTAGACTGGCGTGTTTTGTTTTATTTTGCTTGGTAACTTACTTTGTTCTCTCTGTTACTACTTGGAACCACTTAAATCCTACTTTTTATACTTAATAAAATCACTTTTTCTTATTAATTGACCCAGAGTAAGTAATTAATACCTGGGGGAGCAAACAGCTGTGTATATCTCTCTATCAGTGTTATAGAGGGCGTACAATTTATGAGTTTACCCTGTATAGCTTTATACAGAGTAAAATGGATTTATTTGGGGTTTGGATCCCATTGGGAGCTGGCTGTCTGGGTGCTAAAGACAGGCACACTTGCTAAGCCATTTTCAGTTAAGTCTGCAGTTTTGTGGCACGTGGTTCAGACCCTGGGTCCATGCTGGAGCAGACTGGCATGTCTGGCTCAACAAGGCAGGGTTCTGGAGGCCCAAACTAGCAGAGAAAATGGGCTCAGAGGTAGTCTCAGCCCATCAGGTGACAGTCCTAAAGGGGTTTCTGTGGCCCAACTCATCACAGGTACTATCAGTGTCACAGACCCACTCTCTCCAAGAAAAGCCCAGGACAGTAGATGGGCCTTGCAGTATACCCTGAGGACTCTGCTGGATTGAGTGTAAAAGTAAAATCCAGTACTGTTGACCCTTCACTGAGAATGCCCTGCTAGCTGCTTGCTCTTGTCTTAAATAGAAGGTTACTAGCTTGAATGCCTCAGTTGATTTTTTTACTGTAATGGAATCACACTAGGAAACAGGTGGTATCTGAAGTACCAAAGTTATTCAAAGCTTTATGGTTGACCTACCAAGCAATATCTTAAACTTCATCTGGAAATCAAGTCACTGTGTAGGCTAGTCCAGATCATGGAAGACAGGTGTAATGTGCCCGCAATATGACACACTGCGTAAAATGTGAGCACCACATTCTGTACTCGCTGCAATTTCTGAATGGTTTTAAGGTTACGGTGATTCAATCTGGATGTGATGAAGGTATGAATGACTGTGACAGAATCTGCATCTGAAAAAAGGACTGCAACTTTCTTCTTATGTTGCAGATAAGAATGCTCTTGGTAACTGCTGCTACCTGAGCATCTAGCAACAGTTGGGAATCCAGCAAGACCTTGATCTCAGGCATATCTCCTCAGAGAAGGAAATACTGATATCTCTTATTCCTTACAATGGCTTCTACTAACCTATGTGTATCACCTCACTCTTATCTGGGTTATCTTATCTCAGCCAACTAGCCCTTTTATCCATACCCCAGTCTCTGTTAGACATTGAGTTAGTTGCTCAACTCCAAAGGATTGGAAAAGAAGTAAATATAAAGACTTGGTGTCATCCCTACATTGAAAGGAGAGCCAGATGCTTATACTCCACGTATCACTATGGTATTTGAAAAAAGAAAAGGAGTACTTGTAGCACCTTAGAGACTAACCAATTTATTTGAGCATGAGCTTTCGTGAGCTACAGCTCACTTCATCAGATGTATACCGTGGAAACTGCAGCAGACTTTATATACACACAGAGATCATGAAACAATACCTCCTCCCACCCCACTGTCCTGCTGGTAATAGCTTATCTAAAGTGATCATCAGGTGGGCCATTTATATATATGTGTATATAAAGTCTGCTGCAGTTTCCACGGTATACATCTGATGAAGTGAGCTGTAGCTCACGAAAGCTCATGCTCAAATAAATTGGTTAGTCTCTAAGGTGCTACAAGTACTCCTTTTCTTTTTGCGAATACAGACTAACACGGCTGTTACTCTGAAACCTATGGTATTTGAGTACTTTTCCTAAATACTGGGATCAAGATGGAACCTTTATTCTCCATACTCCTAAACTTTGGGAAAGTTTAGAGCCTGGTTTTACTTTGTGTCTAAGCCATTTGTGTAGTTGATATAAACCTCTGACACTTTTATTCAGTATGTGCCTTGAGGATGTTTCACAATGGGGTTAAATTTTGCTTTTCTTAATCACATGACCAATTGATTACTCATTTGAGTAATGTGATCGTTACATGGCTCTCAATTCTTTCTTTATTTTGTTCCTTTATGTATATAAAACTATCCTTAGCACTTTATTTTTTTTAAAAAAAACAACCACCTAAAATTTTAATAAATTTAAAGCAGCATTTCAAACCAAGGTAAACATGTCACAGTCCCATAATTAAATTTCTAGTAATCTTAATTATTTTGTGATTATTATTAACATTTAATCCATCAATTAAGTAATAATTCAGATGGTAACAAATCTTAAATAAGTCACTATTGTCTCTTTGAGGAATTAAAAGCCTGTCTATAAAATGTATTTTAATTCTTGGGTATATGAAAGTACTGTATATTTCAACAGGGAATATCAATCAGGTATTTTTCCAACCTCACAGAAATGTAGGTTTCTCCCAAAGCAAGGCTCAACAATCATTGGTAGTACTTAGTAGACAACAATGACAACAGTAGACCAAAGGATGTTGGTGATTAGTGACTGGAACATGCCACTTCTGCCACAATGCCAGACAATTAATTATGCTGTGCTGAAGGAAAGGAGGGGATAACTAACACTTTATCCATTTGGACAATTTTTTCCAAAGGGAATGTACACATTTATTTTTTTTATTATTCTCACTTTCTCCTACATACCTCACTTGTCTTAGGCCTAGCTCTTTCAATGTGGTGCAGGAATATGGACCTTTATACCTGTAGGGAACCCATTCATCCTGCAACCCTCACATCCCCATAGCATGACTTTCCCAGAGGAATGGTTATTCATTCTTGTCCTTTCATGGAGGCACTCTCCTTCTTTGCAGCACTCTGATTCCCTTTACCAAGTGAAACTATTCATGTGGCCAAGCCTTTCTCCTGGGGGTCTTTCCCAGCTCCTGCAAGGGAACCTGTGACTGTATAATCCGCCTGGCTGGGGCGGCACACAGAGGTTGCCATAGAAGGAACCGTGATTCCCCAAATATCCTGTGGATTAATTGGCCGAGGAGCAGATTAAAGAATTTGAGCTCCCGTGAAGGCACCCAGGTGCCTTACCCTCCAACAACCACCTCCACTCTCCCTGTCTGCACTCTAGCGCTGTGGGGGAACGTGAGGAGGGTTGGAATCGCTGACGTCCCTGCAATCCCCAGCATAACTCCACAGGAATATGACTACCTTCAACTAACTCGGTTCACCCAACCTTTGAGGGAGTCCTGCAGGAACAAGAAACAAGAGTCTGGACCAAATTCTGCCCTCAGTTACACCTAGGTAGCAATCCAGGGTGTTCCTTGGAACATGAGGTTAGTTAGACCAATATCCGAGCTCAGTTTCACCTTTGCAGCTCCCCCCCGCCCCCATCCGACGAGGTACGAGGCTCAAGTTAAATTTCCCTTCCTTAGTGAGAGTGGCGCTGGGATGCATTTCAGAGCAGGGTTTTACTAACCCGGGCGGCTGAGATGCTTGCACGCTCCTTCTTTTCCGAGGGATAGAAACTGCTGCGAGATGATTGCGCTCTTTAACATCCAAAGCAGCCAGAGGCACCAGCCGAACCGTGCGATCAGTGCCTCAGTGGCAGCCCGATCAAGTCCTGCTGGCCCCTTCTGGTGCCCACGCGTCTCCCTTCGCCCTCCACAGACACACCAATGCCCCCGCCCCGTGCTTTCCGAAAGCCTTGGCGCCCTTCCCCACTGCCCCCGGCCGGGGTCTCCCAGTGCCAGTACAGACCAGTGAACAATGGAGCCAGGCTCCCCCGCCCCTTTCTCTCCCCGGCCCCAGCTGTGAACACGGGGGAAGGGCTGTGGGTGGGGTCCAGTGCAAGCCCCACCCAACAGCAAAGCGTCATCGCCTCCCCCCCCCCCGCCCCCGGCACTTCTCTCCAGCCAGCTCCCCTCGCCCAGCCGCCCAAGTCCCTTGAACTTTCCCGGGAAGACTCTCGCACCAAGCACTAGCGAGCGGAAAGCGGCACCCCGGAGCCTGCTCAGCAGCAGCCTCCCGCCCACGCTCCCTCAACCATTCACCCACCCCCCCCCACTCACACACGCCCCCTCCCCAGCCAGTCACACAGCCCACGGCGTCCTGGCATCTCACTACAGCCCCCCCCCCCTCCGAGCCGCCCGCCCGGACGCTCCCCCCATTATCCCAGCCCCCAAACACCCCTCCCCCACCGCAAACTCCCTCTGCCCGCCCCCAGCCACACCGCTCTGCTCCCCTCCGCACGCGCCGTCCCCGACCCGCGACCACCGACAGCCGCAGCCGCTCGTGGCTGGCCAGAGCCCGCCGCCGGATGCTGCGCTCGCCCGGCTGGCGCTGAGCTCCGCCGGACACCACTCGCCCGGCTCCTGCCCGCCACAAAGGAGGGAAGAATCCCGAGGAAGCGACGCGCCTCCCGCGGGGAAGAAGCCGGGCAGCGGGTCGGTCCGGATGCGGTGAGCGCAGCGTCGCCTCCGGGGCTGCCTTAGCGGAAGGAAGGAGAGGGAGAGAGAGAGAGAAGCAGGGATCGGGCACCGCCAGCCACCACCATGGGCTGCTGCACCGGGCGCTGCACGCTCATCTTCCTCTGCGCGCTGCAGCTGGTGAGTGCCTGACCCGCGCTCCGCACCCGGGCACTGCCAGCGTGGGGCTGAGGGTCCCGTGCTCGCTGCAGCTGGCGGGATGCCTCTCCCCGCCCTCCCCCCAGTCTCCCAGCACTCCCAGGGCACTGCCAGCCCCTCCGCTGGGGGTGAGGGTCCCGTGCACGCTGCAGCTGGCGGGATGCCTCTCCCCGCCCTCCCCCCAGTCTCCCAGCACTCCCAGGGCACTGCCAGCCCCTCCGCTGGGGGTGAGGGTCCCGTGCACGCTGCAGCTGGCGGGATGCCTCTCCCCGTCCTCCCCCAGCACTCCCAGGGCACTGCCAGCCCATCCGCACGCTGCAGCTGGCGGAATGCCCAAGCCGTTTGTGTCTCGGGCTCCCTGCATGCAGATCTCAGCTACCGGGCACTGCCAGCTGCTCTAGGGCTGTTGCGGTGCAGGGGTTCATTGCGCTCTCCTCGGTTCCTCTGGTGAGTGCTCACTAACCAGGCACCTCTGAGTGAGTGACCCATCCCCACCTGATCCCCCGCTCTCACCCGGGGAGCACAGCTGACTCTTGCGCCCTGTGGTTAAGTTTTGAATTTTTATGTTAAAACAAATGTGTTTGGTTTGAAATCTGTTCGTGTTGGGGGGGATCTGCTCCCATCCCAGGGCCAGGCTCTGTTTAACGTTGCCCAGTTTCTCTTTCGGGTCTCTAGGGGGTTGCTACAGCTTTTCTATGCCGCCAAGTCTCGCGCTTGAAGGATTTCTGAATTCATTTCGAGTCTCTCTCTTCCTCAACCCCCTCCTTCCCCCCCCCTGTTTGAACTAGATTTTAAAAATCTCACTCAGATTTTTTTGGACATCACACCCATTTACATTGTCTCAGGTTGACAGCCTTGTGTTAAAATCGCTTCGTGATCAATTTAAGATCAAGGTGTTCAGGCAGCATTGGGGTCCGCTGGTGCCGGTGTGTGTGTGCGTAATATGAAATGAAAGCGACTGAGAGACTAAGTTCTATATGATAGCCTAGCACAAGAATGACACTTTTAGGACATGCTTGTTGGGACCTGTCATTGGACTCTGCTGTTTATTTTCTAGTCACTTCATTGAGGTCAGGAGCCACCAATCTTCTTTTGTGTCAGATCCGTTGTGGAATGTACAAAAATCTCTTTGTGCTTAAAAAGGCAAAATCTGCACATCCTTCTGGGTATTTCCTCCCAAGTGTTTTATTTCAATTACATACACCCTGATATGTAATTGACACAATTGAAAATGTGTCTTGTTTTCTTTGTGTATTAAAGTTGGCATATTTGTTTCAAAGTAGTGTTGTCAGAACAGAACTATACTGAGCAATAACAAGTCCTTGTATGGCTCATTAGCTGAGTGATAAAATAATGCTCTTCCTTTAACAGTCAGTCTCTAATCCCATGAGAATTTTAAAAGATTTTTTTCTTTTCTACTGATTAGAGCCATCTTTTTTGCCACATGATATTTCTTTGGATAAGTGTGGGTTCTTCAGTCTGTGGGTGTGCAAGTGTATGTGTAAAGTAAAACTATCCGGTGATTACAGAATATGATCATTTGGCAGTCATCCTAGCTTCCTGCTAAACCTCTAGAAAAGGCTTCTGTTTCATGAGAATTATTAATGGACTGTTAAACACAACATATTCAATACTTCACTTTAAGAACATCATTCATTTTCAAAGTATTAGTCAAATCTTCAGCTGGTGTAAATTGGTTCATTAGTATTGTCTCCTATTCAGATATTCTTAAATACCATGGGGAGGGTGCAGTGTTAAAACCTGAATAAAATAAACTAACAAAAGGGAAAGAGATTTCATGTATTCAAAATTTGTACTTTTAATATTAACCAATCTTTGTTTATAAAGCTGTGGCCTTGATCCCCTGGACTTGTTTTACACTCCTGTAACCTATTGACTACTATGGAGTTATTTTTGATTTACACTGATGTGTGTGAGGAGAATCAGATACTTCATCTTTAAAAATATAACACTAACACAGCTATGAAGGTTATAATAACAGTATTTACTATTCTGTAACATTACTTGGAGGCTATAAAAACTGAAGAAGTAAAGTATGAATAGCCATCATAATATGTAGAGTACTGCAGATAAAACCTTTCAAAAAAAGGTATCATGTTTTATAAGAGACCCATCAAATGATCTAACAACTTTCAAACTGTTGACTTTTAATATATAGATTTTTCTACTGTATTTTCCTGTTTTATAAAAATGCATACCTTAGGTACAGTCTACTATAACATCCATAGGTTTTAGTGACTGATCAATCCATGTCTAGCCGAATGCTTCTAGTGTAATTTATTTTAATTAAAAACATAAAAATAAAAACTGCAGTATAAATATGTGTTAGACCTAAAATTTAATCTAGTAGACATGGACTCGAGCCAGCATACTCACAATGATCTCAGTGGCGGTGGTGTTGAATTTATGTTTGTAGGAATTGTCACCACAGGAGATTTTAGATCTGTTTCATCACAGAAGTCATGAGTATAAAGCATACCCAACAAAACTGCATCCCCAGACATTACTATCATTAAAAGAGATTTATTTTACCTTGCATCCATTTATGGAGAGGTGAAAGACATATTACTGACTGTGGACTATGTTTAGATTAAGTGCTACAGAAGCCAAAGTACTTGTTTTGCTAATTTGTAGCAATGGAAAAATACAAATGATTTCTATGGGTTGAGAAAACTTTAGAAAAATAGAAAGATGACAATGCTTTAAAAAATAGGTAGTGAATTTTCACACAAGAAACAGTTCACCCTCTCAATAAGTCTTGTTAGACCACACCAAAGAAAACCAAAATAGGTCAATAGAAAGGTATTATGTGAACAATTCAAGACTTTTTTGATTAAGAACTGTATAGACACCAGCTGAAAAGTCAGACAGCCAAAAATCTTCATGAAAATACTTAACTTGCAATTCTCTTTGTTTGTGAAGTGGATTGTGCTGCTCACATCTCCCTGGTGATTGCCAATAAAACACATATTTCAGAAATATTTGATACCCAACACAGCAGTGGTTCTCAACCAGGGGTCTGGGGACCCCTGGGGGCCCACAAGCAGGTTTCAGGGGGTCCGCCAAGTAGGGTTGGCATTAGACTTGTTTGGGTCAAAGGCAGAAAGCCAAAGCCCTAGCACGTGGGGCTGAAGCCTGATGACCCAAGTCCCACCCCCCAGGGCTGAAGCCAAAGTCTGAGCAACTTAGCTTCACAGGGTCCACTGTGGTGTGGGACCTAGGGCAACTCCTGCTTGCTACCCCCTAATGCTGGCCCTGGCTCTTATATGCAGGAAAAACAGTAGTTGTGGGCCATGAAGTTTTTATCTCACGTTGGGGGGCCTCAGAAAGAAAAAAGTTGAGAACCCTTGCAAACAGGACACTTCTATTATTGTGTAGATGTACTGAAGTTTGGAATTGGAAGTCTTTCTATACAAATGATAGTATTATCCCTAAGTGGAGTGTCTGTCACACTCACACAATCCTTAGCTTTGGAGCATCTCATATTTGATTTTAGTTAGTTGCTCAAAATTAGACCTTTGGACCAGAGCTGCTTTTCCATTGTGTTATACCAATTTAATACCAGGGGCATTTCATTAAAGTAAATGGAGTCATGCCAGTGTAAAACTGTTGTAAGATAGTGGAGAATCAGGCCCATAATCTCTTTTAGGATTCCGTTCTAACTGCCTCTAAAAATTCTTGCCACATTTGTGATGTGTGCTGGCTTCTCAGCACAGTTTTGCTGGTTCCCTCACAACCTTTCCCCATCATATCTATTTTCCCCTCTTACTTTTGCCCATTATGCTTGTATATAGAAAAATGCTATTGGGAAGAGAACCACAGTCATTGAATGACCGTGGTGTTTGTGTGGGGTCTATACACCATCCTTTCTCTAATGGTAAAATACTATGGCTTACTATCTTCAAGAAGAATTATTTGTAAACACAGAGTGTTGTGTGTGCATGTGAGATTTCAGTAGAAAATATTTTTAAAATGTCATTATTTTCATTTCTACATTTTGATCTACAAAAATGTATACATCAAACTGCTCACATAACCTTTCAGATTTGGTACTGACTATAGTTCAGTCTTAAGTGTAATAGACTCAATACAATGCACACTAATGAACACCCCAGAGGCATTCCCCAGTTAATCTTATATGGTTTCATATAAATGTACATTTCTTAAAATGTAAATCTGCATAAATATGTATAATGCAAGGTGTCAGAGGGCAAGTGCACCCGTCCCTTCTTGGGACAAAGTGCGGGTAAAGATGGCCCCACGGCTGAGTCTATACAACCATCTCTTGTCTTAGGATAGCTTGGCCTGGCGGTAAAAGTCAATATGGCTGCCCCCTCTCAGGGCTTTGTGGCCTACCAGTCAGTCAACAGGTCTGCCCTGTTCAGCAGGGCCGTGTGGCCCAGTGGCCAGAGTCAGCATAATGGTCCTCTTTAGTAGGGTTGTTTGGTCTAGCGGCCAGTCTGGGGAGTGGGCCGCCACCTTGGATGGGAGTGGGGGTGTGGTGACTGGGTAGGGGGACCCGGGCCCTCCCTGCTCCACCGGGTCCCAGCTCAGGGCCCTGACAGTGGCAAGTATGCTCGCCACTGGGTCAGCAGGGAAGCTTCCCGAAACACTCTGACACCGCTCGGTACAATGCCTAGTCCCCCTGAGCTACTTCCTACCCTGTCCCTTGTGTAGTGGTCCTGGTGTCCCAGAAGTCCATAGTCTCCTCAGCCTGTGTGACTTTCAGCAGTTCCATCGCTTCTTGGGCATCTGCAGGAGCTGGGGCATTATCCTGGGTCTCAGCATCTGTTGCTTCAGCAGCTCCCAGGCTGGAGCTTGCAGCATGTGTCTTCCCTCTTCAGCGGTCAGCCCTGAATGAGCCAAGCTGTACCCTTTTATATGAGCCCAGCTGTACCCAGCTGGGAGCATGTACCTGAATGAGCCCAGCTGTACCCAGCTGGGAGCATGCCCTTCAGGGC